AATATTTTTTATAAATTTTTATTTTTCTTATAACTATAAGTAATTTGCACTTTCATGGAAATTAATTTTTTAAATACCATTTTACAGCAAATTTTATGTTTTTTCCGAAAAATTTGGTGTGACAACTCTTATCGTGGCAGAAAAATCGGTTTTTTTATTCAATCTCTTTCTTTTTAGTTTTTCTTTTATAATATTGTGGGGCAACAGCTTACAACTTGACCAAAATATCTGTCACATCACTTTATATTACAGCTTCAACCCTTCAAAATCATGAGAATGAAGCATATTTAAAACTTTCTCTATCCTGTTTTTAATTTTTGACCCGAAATACAATCTGTGTCATCTATAATTTTTTCTCTTTTTTTTTTTAATTATTAAATTGAGCTATTCTTATTATGCATAATATATTATACCTGAGTTATCCTAAAAACCTTAAAAATGCTTAGCTCATCGTTATCGCTTCAATTTCACTTTGGAGCCCTGTTGAACAATACAAAATTTCGATCAAGGTGCTTGTTTATTTATTATTTTAAAAATATCTGTCATACCAATTAGATTCAGATGACTTCAGAAACATAATATTATATTTTTCTTATTTCATTTAAAATTTATTTATCAATTTCTTCAACAGTATCACAAAAATTTATTAACTAATACCAGGGAGGAAAGTACAAGTCATTTGATTGATACAAATGTATTGCTGAAAAACATTATTTATTTATAAAGTTCGGCATTTTATTTCTTCATGATTTTGTTAATTTTCATACATTACTCATTTTATGAATGCAGGAATAAGAGAAAGCTTATACAAGCTATATAAAAAGATCATGAATGAATAATTTATCTTCATTTTGATACAAATTTGGGAAAAAAGGAAATATTTTTTTTGCATCGATACGACGCGTATCTCGTCATTTTTTATTCTCTTTCGATTGAAATTGGTCTCATTAAAAAATAAATAATCTTTTTTGAGTTATAGACTTTTTGCTATTTTCAATGTACTTTATTATGAATTATTTTTGGGCCCGAATTCAATAGCAACTATGGTACAAAAAAAAGTTTTTAACTAACTACGTTCAATGACCTGTTATTTTTAATAAAAAAAATGTATATCCGCAAGTTTCATAGCTATGTAAATAAAGGTATTTTTTACCATTTTTTATGTTGTTTTAACGTATAAGGTCGTTTTGAAAAATTTTGGTTAAAAATACGTGAAAATTAAAAATCACCTTCATAAAGTTTCAACTTTGGGGATTAATTACACCCCTTTAAAACGTTTTTCTGCTGAAAAAAAATTACATAGTTCATTATTTTCGACGTAGATTATTATGTAGAAATCTCAGCTAAATCGACGGTGACCACCTCGCGAGATTTCCTTGTCAGTCGAAAATACATGAATTCTTATTTTCTGCCATTAAAATAAAAGCCACAGATTTTGTGCAAAAATTACTTAGCTATTTTAAGAGAATGTAATCTAGTTATCTAATCAGTCTCAATTCGCCCTACATATTTTTTTGTGCAATCTTATTAAAAAAACATTTTTCGTGATGTATATTGTCTACGGACAATAGATTTTACCTTCTTTTGAAATTTAATGCAGATGGGACCACTGGAACATAGAAATGTGATAAAGATCTCTTATTTTTTGCTAATTTTTAAACGCGCATTTTACTCACTTGAGCTATCACTTCTTCCATCATATCTCTCTGTCCCCGCACATTCGTCACGATGATAATCTTCTGTCTTTTTTAATTTTATATGTCACACTCTCTTTCTCGTTTTACATGTGGCCGACTGAAATCTGTCAAACTGATTTAGTTTTTCTTAACCTCGAAAATTTTCCTTATGTTTCAACTAATTATCCTCATCTCGTTTTATTTCATAGATCGTAATTGCGCGAATCTGTGAGTATTTCTTTCCTTAATCGACTCATTGGTCTAGAACTAGTGCGCAAAGACATAAAAATTTTTGATTCTAAAGTAATTCGAGATGTGTACTCGGTGCAACGTTTTTTTGACATCAAGCGTTACGTTCTAACATACGTTACGTAGTTTAAGTTGAAAAATAAACAATTTCATTATGAATAATGGTCTTAACTAACAACATCAGTATAATATGTATTTATTCATGTATTTTATTCATATGTATATGCTAACACTTATGAGTGACACGCATATGCTTGTACAGTAGGGTGAAAGCTTCCGCGCATGCATGTGGACTCAAAGCAAGTAGTTTCTAATTTTTATGTTGTGACGTTATTCTTCAAATAATGTCCTATTGACGATTTTCAATAATATTTTATTAAATATTGGAGGCTAATAATAGCCCATTTGGTTTGTTTTAGCTATGTTTTCCTTATTGTTCTATATTTTTGAGCTCTCAGGAGCTGTTTAAATGATAGTTACAGTAATTGTTCACGTTTTGTTTATAAGTTATTTTATTTGATTGTAGATTTCAGTGTTGCTATTCCGAAATTATTATTATTGTTACTATCTGTTTAAAATAGTATTGTAGCGAGAGGTAGCAAGGTTGGAAGATTTTATTTTTAACTGTAGTTGCATAGAAAACTCAATGAGATGAGGAGGGGATAGGGGAGGAGAAGAAACACATATTTGTGGAGTTGAGAGCCATTATGATAAGAAGTGAATCGCTAACGTAGAGTAGAGGGCTTCACGAAATGTGCCACCTAGTAGATGGTCCATGCTAGGAGACGTTCTATTTCTAAAAGTTGTCATTGCATGATCAGTTCCAATAACATGGCACTTTAATAGGAGAGATAAAGGTGTAGAATGAGCATGTTGGAGATTCTGTAAAGAAGTTAGACTAAAGTTTGATGAATTAAATATATGTTTGCAGGCCTTGTGGGAGAAGCCTGATCAACTTTGGGTTTTAGAGAAGAGAGATCAATTTTAGAGATTGAAGAGTCAAGACGTAGTTTGGAGCTTGGAGAGTAAGCAGTACGATTTTGGAGATTGAAAAATCGGTATGGCTGAACAAGACGAAGGGAGAATAGAATGCAGTTAACATCGTGGAGGAACGGCAGACTGAAAGGAGCTCCCTGAAGCTGAGAGAAAGTTCCAGTCCATCCAGGAACCAATCGAGATCATATTACGACACCTAAGTATCCTTTACTGCTCCTGTAAGTCGTATTGAATCTGATTGTTATGGGGTTTATTTTGGTAATTGGATTAATTCTGGGTTAATACAATGAAAAGAAATTATTAGTAAGTACAGATTAATTGATTGAAGAAACTGTAGAATGTTCCAGTACTTAAGTTAAAGTCATTTGATTGTAAAATATTTTTATATGGGTAATGTAGAATTGCTACAGAAAGATTGATTTTTAGTTTAATAAATTTATATTTATTCGATCATGGTTATTCATTAATTTACATAATGAAGAATCTTCAACTCCATCATTTTATCTGTTGTTTGGGTAACTTTTATGGCGTACAACCGATAAATTTCTTTGCCAACCCCGACTTTCTCTCCACAACACACATAACTGAGCACCAGGAGATCCCCTGTCGAGGCATTTTATCAGCAGCATCTTAATTAAGTTAGTTTTAAGATATTGGAATTAGCATTAAGATTTCTGAGTATTTTGAGATTTTTGGAATTTTAGTTTAAGTTTGGCCAGTTTGGTTATTCTGGTGATTAAAAATAACTCGGCACTCGTCGTTTATAATTGCTATAAGCGGACCAGGGATGTTAGCTGGTGAAATATTGTCCTGGAGGAAGGTGAATATTTAGTACACTCACCCCAGTAGAAAAATATCAACACTATATAAAAAGAATTGTTTTCATGATAACCATAGGATGCCAGTTGCGAAATATTTTCTTGCTACCTATAGAAAATTAACTGCTTTTATAGATCTTCTATTCATTAATTTAGGAATAAATAAAGTATGAAAACGTTAAACAGCACGGTCGTTTATCCAAGGCTCGTGCGGAGGTATAAACACCACCTAATAAAGAACTTGTTCTTTTCCCTTCGTTCAACTCCTTGCATATTCATGTTATTGAAAGATAAAATGAGAAGAATCATCAAGGAGTTGCATTGAAGACTTTCCTAGCTTGCTTCTATCTTTACTGACGAGCAGCCTGGAGCCAGTTCATCAGCCAGAAAACCTATCAAAATTATCATCAACGAAGTTCTTCCAGATTGCAAAGTCGTTCTGGTGATTCCTAAAGACTTTCAAGATATTTTATTCGCATAGCAAACAACTAAAGTGAGTATTACTAGTGAGCATCGACTTGAAAACTTCATGGATTAAATTGAAATGAGTGATCCAACGGCCCAAATGGTGAGCTTGTTATTTGCATTTATTTTCCCTGGCTTTGCTGGCCCGTTTTGAATTTCCTTGATTTTGCGCTTACTTACTACCACTGTTAAAGGCGGCGGCTTTATAACTATTATCGCGAGCTTTCATGAAATATCGATGCATCCATCGATAATTCAATATCCAAGTCACGAAATTTAGTTTCCTCTCTTGTCATTAATTAAATTCTTTATTGATAATAGCGAATAGTTTATTCAGATTACGTATGATATCGGAAAATCCATCGACTTTTTTATTCCGGTATATCTATACTAATATATAAATTTTGAGTGCTGGTCGGTCTGTCCGCACAAATTTCCAAACGAATAATCTGAATGCCACTGAATTTTTCAAAATTGTAGAGAAGGTTATTAGGAAGTTCCTAGGTACTATTTGTATATTTTAATTTTTATGAACAATTGAATTTGTTATGAACAATTAGAACGGGATCTGCGCAGTAAAGTTATGTTTTTTTTAAGCTTACTTTTTTCATTATAACATAAAAACGAACCGAATAAAAACGGACTTTTTTGTTTATAACAATAAATCGTTTCAAACGAGTGATTATTGCATCTTACATCGGAATTTAAATTTTATCTTATAAGCTTTTCTTAATAATATAGTTTAGAAAATTAACGTAATAAAATTATAAGGAGGAATATTTAATCATTAATTCACCTGTACAGTTAGTATTTCACGTCCGTTAGCTGCTGTTTCAATCACTTTCTGAAATTCTTTGACATATGTTGGTGTTGTAATTGGTAGAACATTCAATCCCTCAGAAAGCAATCCGGATGTATTCAACTAAAAATTAAAAAAGCTCATCAGATGGTAAATCTTAAACATTTCAGGAACTAAAGCAAAAATGTAAGCTTAATGAAGAAGAATAAAAATGAACGTAATGAATACATATAGTCTAATCACAAATTTGTTGGCTAGGGCAGCTGAATACAAATTGAACGCTTGAAGTTGAAAAAAGTATTTAACCCTAGACTGGCCACAGTACGAAACCCATAATGAAGTTACGTAGATAAAGTAGGGACTTAGGTCACTTACTAAATCAATCATAATAATATTGTAAAATATTTGAATGTCACCATCTAATGACTATTAGACTAACGACAGTTTGTTAGTTAACGACGATTGCTTGACGATTAGATTGTTTATAGCAACGAGGGAAGAGTTTATTTATCTCCAGTTATTGACTGAGACTTGAGTTGACCGCACGGATTCTTTCTTACTAATTAATCGCTGTCAATCTTTAATAAAAATTTTTCTTTATTTATTAATTTTCCAAAGTTGTTATTTGTTCTTATTTTACAATATCTTATTTATCGACAAGGGTGACGTAGCGGGATATTTGAATTACCGATTAAATTCTTAACCTATTTAAGTTTATAGGATACAGACAAGTGCACCGTAGCCCACTTAGTAAAGGGAAGATCACCGAACTGGAGTGATAATGTCGAACTTACAGACAAGAGCATCATAAAACATCTGGATGCTGGAGAGTCATACCGATATCTTGGACAGGCACAATCTTCTTTACAGGACGTGTCTGTCATCAAAGGTACTCTCCGCAGTGAGTACAAGTGGTGACTTAAGAGAATATGAGGCTCTGAATTAGCAGGCCCTAACAAAGTCAAAGCCACGAATATGCTCGCTGTCCCAGTCTTGCTATACTCATTCGGAGTTCTTAAATGACTCCGAAAAGAGCTTAAAAAGCTGGACATTATCACGAGGAAAGTGATGACATTATTTCGAAGTCATCACCCGTGATCTTCTCAGTCGTTAAGAACGGGAGAGCAAAAATTCTTTGGAATTACCCGCTATCTACGCCTCAACGCATTGAACACAATAAGCCGGATATTACTCTTTTCGACCACCAAGCACGTATATTATATTGAGTTCTCAGCCCCGGCTGAGACAAATATACGTGCAAAAGAAGAGAGTAAACAGGAACGCTACAGAGAGCTCATGGAGGCCATGAGAAATGTCTATTACGAATACACAGCGCATGTGATAGTCCTGATGATTGGCGCCCTCGGAGGGATGAGAGACCGCTTTCTGACAGAGCTTCGAACAAAACCAGTCTGTCACCCTCAAACCTGAGGGAGTCGGTTGTCTGCAGGATAATCCCGTCTGGTCAGGCCCCATGTGGGTCGGAGCCCCGGGATCCCTAGCCAGACGCTTTGGACAAACCGAAAGGAGATAATAATAATAAAAAGAAAACAATTTAAGTAAATGAAATTTAAATAATTTAGATGTTGCAAGAAATGTAACAAATCCTTCAATTGAAACGGTCTTTCTTCCTTCAGTGGCGAATTCTCTTCCTTTCGCGAAACTAGATAAATTTGACAGATCTCAAACGTGGGAAAGTTATTTACGTTGTAAGAGAGAATTGAGACTGTCGCAGGATTACATAATTGGACCGATGAGGTCAATGCTTTAATTTAGTGTCGTATTTGAAAGCCAAAGCATAAAATGTTTTAGAAGTTTTGAGTAAAAAGGATTTAAAAAATTTCTTGAAATGAACAGAATGTTTAGAGGATCGTTTCGGTAATAAACCTTTCCGTAATCCTCTTAAAAAAACTTTTGGGTAATCTAACCAAGCTTTTTCAGGAAAAATTCAATGTTGGAATTGTGAACAAAAAGGTCATACAAAAAGAGATTGTAAAGGAAATTCTTTCCCTAGCATTATAAATAATAATTCTTCAACTGATGGTTCATCAAAATTTGGTAAATATAATCAATATAAATTTGGTAAGTTCTTTTAATTTTTTCAAGAACTTCGATTTCGATTATCCATTTAAACTTTTGTTAACTTTTGAAGGTGGAATTAATAAAATAAAATGTAAAATGTTAGTTGATACAACTGCTGATGTAACTGTAGTTCATTCTTCACTTTTAAATAAAAAAATAAATAATAAACTTGTTCTTCTCTCTCTATTTTTACAGTTTTCGGTATTTAATTTGATTTTGATTTTATTGAGATCGTAGAAATTAAAATTTCTCATATTAAAATTAATTTAGAAGTTGTTTCCGACCGAATTTATTATAAGTGTATTCTTGGTTTGAATTTCTTAATCAAATCAGGATTATTTTATGAATTTAAAAATTTCAAAATTATTCTTAAAATACATAGATATTTGTTCTAAAAATTCTTTTGATAATAGAAAGTATAAAATTTTGCAACGAAGAATTATTGTCGGTAATCCACTCCCAATTAAGCAAATTCCTCGTCGTATTTCTTTACATTGTAGAGACAAAGTAGATACAGTTATGGAGGCAATAAAACGAGAGGACGCAATTGAAACTTGCAATGGTCCTTGGGCTTCTCCTGTTGTTCTTGTTCCTAAAAAAGGTGATGGAATTAGATTTTGTGTAAATTATCGAAAATTACGTGATGTTACAGTAAAAGATTGTACTTCTATCCCCCATCAAAAAGATATTTTAAATATGGTTCTTCGTGCCCAATGGTTTTCAACCATTTATTTAAAAAGTCGTTATTGGCAAGATGAAGTTGCTTCTGATGATCGAGAGAAAATAGCTTTTTGTATTTATAGTGAACTTCGGCAATTTGAAGTTCTTCCTTTTGGTTTATGTAATGTTCCGACTACTTTTGTAAAACTTGTAAATATATTTTTCCATGGCCTCCTTAAAAAAATTTGTTTACTATATCTTGACGATATTATCATCTTTAGTAGAAGTCATAATAACTTATCTTCAAATTGTTTTTGAAAGTTTTTTACATTCTAATCTCAAAAGTAATGCTAAAAGGTTCACATTTTTCGAAGAAGAAGTTACTTTCTTCTGCCATATTGTTCCTAGTGAAGGTTTGAAGAGTTGTCCTGATAAAATTTCTGCTATTATAAATCGGCCTGTTTCTAAAAATAAATATGAGCTTTGAAGTTTTTTTAGACTTGGTTCGTATTACAAAAAATTTATTGACGATTTTGCTACTTTAGCAAAACCTCGGTATTTCATTTGTGAAGAAAGAAAAGTTTTTATTTGGAATAGTTCTACTTTTCAAAAATTAAAGAATATTCTAACTTTTACACCTATTTTGGGTTATCCTGATTTTAATTATTTATTTATTCTTGATACTAATGCTTCTAATGTTGATATAGGAGCTGTATTATCTCAGAAAATTCCAGTTAATAAATATAATGAAATTATTTGTCAAGAAAAGGTTATTACTTATCTAAGTAAAACTTTGAATATCTGTGAACGGAATTACTGTATTACTAGGAAGGAATTATTAGCTGTTGTTATTTCGGTTGACCATTTTCTCCTTGGAAAACGGTTCTTAGTTAGAACTGATCATTCTTTTCTTAGTTAGTTACTTTCATTTGAAAATCCTAAAGAGTAAGTCGCTCGATGGTCAGAAATTTCATTTCAATATGATTTTGAGGTTCAGCATAGACCGGGTAGAAGCTATGGCAATGCTGATGGTTTATCTCGATGTCCATATGATTGTAAAAGATGTCATAAAATCGATTCTGATGACAAATGTTCTGATACTAAAAATGTTTTCAGAACTATTTGTGAAATTAGTAATGTCAACTTTTGAATTAACCTAACCTTTTAAGGATAGGAATGATTGTGCTGGATCCGATCAATTAGGAACTCAGGTGTTATAAAAAATATATATCTTTATTTTAGCACTAACAATGAACAATATCCACTGTACAACTTTTACTTCACTGGATAAACGAATGAATGTCTCTAGCACTCGATGAATGTCAATCAAATATTAACTGAATAATAATTGAATGTCCAAAAAATATAACTAAACTTGGTGTGTTCAGTATTATTGAAGTTTAGTTGAATAATGATTGTGCACGTGGTGTTAGCCTAACAATGCAATGCAAATGAATTTTTATTTTATCATTTATATTCACTGTGAATTTTTCTTAAATAATTATTGATTCAATTATTGAATAAACTGGTCAATGTTTCTGTTGATTCAGAATTGCACTAGCACTAATAATTGACTCAGAAAAGATAGATTTATGAGGAAAGAATTAGAAAGGCGTGTACACGTGGATGAGAACAGAAAAGGAATGGTGACAGGAACTTCATTAGTCGAAATGGACACTGAATTTTAGTCAATTGAATGACTAGATTAAGAGTTACTGATTATTTGGTCGATTGGTTATCGACGTAGTCCCAAAATGGCCGCTGACGTTCCTGTCAGCTGGCAATTCAAACTTGAAAATTAATTAATTCTCAACAAATAATAATTCAGAAGGGATTAAACTGCAAAGTGACGATTGTACTTCAAGTATGATTATTGAATTTAAAAAAGAAAATAAGGTTCCGGAATATAAAGATGTTTTTCATTTAGATTCTACTTTCAAAATTTATATACTTCATTGGAATTCTTTGGAAGTAAGAAACAAAGTTTTAGTTAAAGGTTGGGAAGCTCCTAATCTTTCTTATATTATTTTCCAAATTGTTGTTCTTCAAATTAAAATTGATGAATTCATTTCTAAAGCTCATAATTCTCCTTGTTGTAATCATTTTAGTATTAATAAGATTTTTTCAAAAATTCGTCAAAGTTTCTTTTTGGGCTACTCCTAAATTTGAAGTTGAAATTTGGTGTAAAAAATGTAAGGTTTGCTCTGCTGAAAACGGTCCAATGGGTCTGATGGTCTCCTTCAAACTTATAATGTTGATTCTCCATTTAAAGGGGTTGCTATTGATATCCCTGGTCCTCTTACTAAAACATCTTTTGAAAATAGATTTCTTCTTGTAATTACTAATTATTTTACTAGATGGCCTGAAGCTATTCCTCGTGC